GGCTCCTGGCCTTACTTCTAGGAACAAGGACGCTACTAGGAGCAAAGGGCATCGCTGTAGATTTCCGATGAGCTCAAAGCGAGGTCTTGGTGCGCTCGCCCGAGAGAAGTGACCCGGAGGCCGCTGAACTCTTGTTGGGGCCTGGTGCATGCTTGATGCCTCAAGTCACTGGTGCTTGATACTTCAGTGAATCTTCCATGCTTGGCTCTTGACTTAGATGATGTGCAAAAGGAGTGGGAGAATCTTCACAAGTTGGATCTTGCAACAAAAGCCAAATCTCGAAGCGGTTTGTACCACTTAATCAAGTAAGAGCGGGCTAAAAAAGTCAAAGCACAACCCTTTTCATCTTGACTTGCTTGGCATGCAACGGCCAATGGATGGCTTGTGGAGCTTTGTCCTTGGGCTCATGATGAGAGGGTCGCTGACACGTTAGGAGAAACATGTCTGATCCCAGCAACTCTCGCCACATGTGCTCTGGAATGGGGAGTCATGTGGTATCCTTTCCAGAATGTACCATTGGGAAAATATTTAATTGGAGGCTGAAGCTGGGCAAAGAAGTTTAAAACCCAAGCCATCCTGCTTAGACTCCTTCCATCACCAACAATTAGTTTGCAAGTCAGGTGCAATACCTGGAACACCAAAAATTGCAGCTCTTTGCAACCCAACTTGTTGAACTCTTTGGATCACCTGACTTTGATCCACCATGCGCCGGGGCCTGCACGGCCTGCGGCATGGATTGCCCTGCGGCGTCGGCGGGGGCTTCCGGAGAAGTTTTGCCACTCATGGCGACGAGGCCGGGTCGTGAATGAGCGTTCTCCACCTCGACCAAGGGACAGAACCACATTCAGAGGCAATCAATTCCTTAAAAGGTTGTTCATCTTGGAAAGGGACAAAAGCAGGTCAGAGTGTCAGAGGGTCTTTTTATTTTCCAATTTTTCTAAAGTGTGTTTTCTATCTGTTCCATTGGCTCCCCACAGGCGAAATCATTTCCACGGGTCTTGGCGGTGGAGGGCGCCAAGGAGATTGGCCAAAGGATCCGTGAGCTGAAACCTCAGCAGGTGGGAGAGGGTGGCTGGAGGGAAGCCGCGGAGTGGGGGCAAGAGGTCGACCTTCATGGTGGCTCGCCTGGTGATTTGAACGTAGGGGTTCACTTACCAAACCGATACTTCGAACTAATTTGATGTGAGTAAAAGTCAGACAAGAAACACTCTTTGACAAGATTTAAGATGAAACCCGGAAAGATGTACCCTCCAAAGGTTCTTGTAGTTATTTTTTTGTGTTTGTTTCTTTTTGCAACCCCAGACCTTCTGTTTGGCCTGAGCCTTTGTGGCAGGTGATGCTGGAGACTTGTGAAGAGCGGCTATCTTTGAGCAAATCTTCCGGTTCACAGGCAGAACTCTTTGCTGGTTTGATAGCAAGGTGCAACTTGACACAAGGTTCTCCAAGAATTCTAGTAGCTTCTTGTTACTACTAGTAAGGCACTTGTTACTAGAAGCGATGCACTTGTTCCTAGTAGCTTCTTGTTACTGCCAGCAAAATATGAAGAAATTGTTTTTCTGCAGACCTCATTGATTTGGTTCTCTCGTCCGTCTCGATGGCTGAGGGGTTGGGCTCCGGACGTTTGCATTCGCGGTTTGCAGCGAGCTTGATGGGCTAAATCACCGATACTCCAGGTGCTTTCATGGGTTTTGCGCAGGATGTTGTGAAGGATGAGAAGGACCGAGAAGCGTCTCCAGGTTGCAAGTAGCACCCCGTCAATGTTCTTGCTTGCGCTACCAGACTCAATCTCAGCGCAATCCCAGTGATTCTATTGTTCCCCAAGCAGTTTACTGTCGGGGTTCTATCTTAGAAACCAAAGCTGGCCACACTGACTGGCCGCGCCCCTGAACTTTGTCGCCGGAGTCTGCAGGCGGGTCTTGTCCTCCTCTTGTCCTTCTCTTGTCCTGCTGTTGTCCTCCTCTTGACTCTTGTCCTTCTCTTGTCCTCTGGCCGCGCTGACGAGCCCTGGACACACTGACTGGCCGCGCCCCTGAACTCTGTGGCCGGGCTCTGTGACCGGGTCTTGTCCTCCTCTTGTCTTCCCTTGTCCTGCTCCTGCTCTTCTTTTGTCTTCTCTTGTGGCCGAACAATTAGCGATGTCGATGCCGACAAAAATCATTGATAAAGCGGTTTGCTCTTGGGGGGGGAAGGTAGGGCGCACCAAGAGATCGTTTTTGACTAATATTGGTTCAAACGAATCGTTTTGATACTGCTTGGGGTCTATGCTGGTACAATTAGCTGACGCTACACTCTGTTGAATCAGGCAGCATGACCTCAGAAAAGCTGGGAAGTCATGACATTGAGGGGGCAACAGACCTAGCAAAGATCTTGCAAGTTCCCTACTGTCCTCAATGACTAGACGAACATCCTTAGTCATTAGCTCAATGAAATGGCTCAGCACGACTTTCAGAAGTTGTGAACTCCGTTTCTGGGTGCTTTCTAGCAGTCCAAGAGCATATTCCTTTGTACCTTCTTCGTGTTGGACGAACACTCCTATCCGCTGTTGACCTAACCCAGAAGGCCTCAGACTGGAATTGGTTGACAAAGTGTGAAAATACATCCAAAGGGACTCGGGACTGAAAGAAACTCAGTCATACGAGGTGATCGTCGAGTTAGTGAGAAACCACCAGAGATTTTCATACTCCGGACAGATGGATCACACTTTTTATGAATTTAGAAAAGACAGATGAACCATGATGAACCTCTACCCAGTGAGATTCCGAACCTTTTGTTTCACCAAACATGTTGAAGTCCCGTCCTTGGCACCGGGCCCATTCGGGCTGCCAGGCTGAGCCACGCGGATGCCATCGCCTTCGTCCACGGCGGTCTGCGCTTGGCGGAGCTGCAGAGTTCGCAGCGAGCCGCCGAGGAGGCGCGACCGTCGGCGAGGCGCTCGACGTGGAGTGGTGGTGGCCGGTTGGGCTGGCTGGGTTGCTTTATTGGTCGATGATTCTACAGTAGCAAGAATCGCACCAAGCATACATGAAACATGCTGTACATGAAACGTTTGAATACTTCAATGTGTCCAGCTTTGACTTTGATTGAATGATACGAAACTCCTCGAGCCTGAACGTGAACTCGCTGATATGCCACATGGCGGTGTGCTGTGAGACAAGTCTCACTGGATAAGCAACCAATCACCAATCACAGTCCTGAAGCGCTTTGTGAATGGCTGGAATATAATATATGTTTCCGGAGTGCTTTTCTTTGCTCCCATGTCTCAAAAATATGGACTTGGGAATTGTCCCACCTGTTTGGGGTCTACGGTGGTGTAATTGTTTAGTTGCTTTTGCCGCCAGGTTGGTGCTCAGGTCTACTGTGTGGATCGGTGGGGCTGCCCTGTGAATGTCGGTCGCTTAAGACTTCAGCGACACCGCTCGAGCAGACCGAAGCATACGACAGATGCCAGGTCATATCGGGAAACACAAAATCGCGTGGCCAAGCGACTGCTCTTGCATCCAAAGGACTGAGATCCAAGACACATCAGAATCAAGACACTTCTCGTTGTACTTCTCCGGGTAGAACACTTGTCCGAGGGCTTTCCACGTCCCGTCTCGCCCTTTTGTGATGGGGGTTGCTGCTTCAAAAGTCAATCATGGCCGTTTTACGTGTGCCTCTAGAGTAGCCTTTTGCCTCCGTCCATTTGCATCCTTTTGTATCCTTTTTGTCTCTCTTCTCTCCAGGAGATGCTCGGCTTTGCGCGCTTCGCGGCCTCCAACCTGGGCGGGGCCACCGAGTTGGGTGGAGAGGATGCCTTCCAATGCCCGGCGCCGGTGGCGGAGATCCTGGGAGAGGCGCCTCTGACCGCGGGGCTGTGTGGGTGTTAGGTTTTCGAAGGGTCCAAGATGCATGTCCATCCATTTGTTATATAAGTTCTTGTCTTTTGGGCCTCATTGTAGGAATTGTTGGACCAAAGCTTCGGGTTCTCTTTGTTATTGTTGCCCTGCACAAGTGTTTCAATTTGGGCAACAGTCAAAACTCAAACATCAACACCAAAGCACTTCAACGGGGTTCTTCAGAGTGAAGATCCACTCCCATACCGCGGCTGACAGCACCGAGCAGTCTCGTGTCATGGCTCAGCCGTGTCTGGACGTCAGCCACTGGCCAGGAGCGTGAGAGGCACATGGCCTCTGAAGCCTTAAAACATCACGTGACCGGGGCCACCGCTCTGTTGCTCTGCAGCCCTGCGAGGCGACACACTCGTCGAACGGTGGTCGGCTCGTGGCCGAGTGTGGCCCAAGCATTTTCCTTGAACTAGTGCCTACTAGCGATTGCCTCCAACATATTGTCAAATTAGGCACTGCGTTGGAAAGCTTCTCGATGTTCTAGTTGTGGCCTTTTTGCATACAAAGCACCATGCATATGCGATGTTCAGAAACTGAAAGGGGGGCAAATGGAGATGGTTGATGCTGGTACTTACACTAACATGCTGTCCTGTCCAAACGAAGTTTTGCATTGCACTGAACTCGTACTGTGCAGGCGTTCCATGCTTGGTCCTTGTCTGCTTGTGTCATGTTGCACACTATGTGTTGCCGAGACTTTCTTCTGACTGCTAGTTTCTTCATTTTCAATTCTCTACGACTCTGAAAATTGAAGAGCGTCGATGACGAACAATCATCCTCCACCAAAACCAATGCGCGGGGTAAAGACGAGGTTTGGATTTCCATTTGGTGGGCCTTGAGAGGAGCTCCTCTCTGCAACAGCTCCTGGAGACCAAGAACCCAGAGGTGCTTTTGTGGGGGGCACAACAAGAACCGCTTGCTTTCTAGTACTTCTGAGATCATTTTACACTGCAAGCAGGATGATGCCGATTCATTGTCAGGCAATGAAAGAAACCTCATCCACATCCAGGCCGAGACTCACATCAGACTTCCACTGAAAAGTTTGACAAATCGCAAGGCTTTCCTGGTACCTCATCATACCTCCCTTTTCATTACTTTTTCTTGCGCTTTGGAGGGTCTGGCCGTTCTTGCTGGTCTTGGTCTATGTGGCAACTTGGGCGAAACCCGAGAGACTCGAGACGCCCGAGAGACCCGAGAGACCCCGGCTTGTGAGTGAGGTGATCCCTGGCTATGGCACCGTGTACTTGTTTTGGCGGATGGCCAAAGGAGTCTTGACCAAAAGATGGGTGGTCAGCTGATTTGGATGGTGCGGGATGGTAGGTATGTGGTAGTGATCACTCTATAGTTAGATGGCTAATGGATGCTAATGGGCTGTGGTGATACTGGGATCTCCTGTGATACTGGGCTTGGAAATAGCAAATGCCGATGCCGTGCGGACTGATAGACCGATGGGTAAGTGCAGATCCAAGACTCAGAGTGACTCACTGCCATCTTTTCGATTTTCGAGGTAGCGATGGCCTCCACCTAGTAGTTTCTTGTTGCTAGTAGTAATGATGTTCTACTCGATATTACTAGGCCATTCTACATCTTGAACGCCAACGTGAACATGTTTGGGTTGTTTTGCGGCCAACGTTGTTGTCACTGAAAGGGTTTTTACAGTGTGTCAGGGTGTCCCTGATGGATCCTTGTTTCGATTTGCAAATGGCTTTGAAGTGACGCTACTTACGTAACTAAAGTCGAAGTGTACACAGTGTTAGTTGGACATGTGGAGTCACAGTGTTCCCGTGTTGGCAGTCGCATGGACAGCCGGGTCCCAAGCCAGTGCTATTGTGTTGCAGCTTGGACAACGGTGGTCAGTCTGAAACTGCCGCGTTTGTAGGTGGATTTGTGCTGGGAAACCCATGAACTTCTGAAGGCCACGCCATGCCACCCAAGAAGTTGCAAGTGCATTGTAGCTTAGGACTGGGTGACTGGATTTCATCACTCCTGCGGCCATCAGCACCAGATGAGGCTGAAGAATTTGGGGCTAAAGGGGAAAGGGCATGGAGGGCTGTTGGAGACGTAGTGTGCAGAAGTCGTGCTTGTATATTGGATGTTGGGTTCTCACGTGTTGCGTTGTATCCAGTTTTGAGTGCCCCTTTCTTGAGCTAGCAAGGTTGCCATGACGTGAGTTAAAGAGCACCTGAAAGCATCATATTTCAGCCTTTGTTCCTTTTGGGACACTTGCCTTACAGGGCAAACATGGCAGTCGATCGAGAAGACCTTTCCTGGATGTTTCAGTTTGTAGAACCTGCCAAAGTCAGTGAAGCAGACATGCCAAGCCATATTGCGGTGACCACGTGGAACACGTGGGGCGTTCCATGGGCATCGCCTTTGGTCTTCCACAGAGCATCAAAGTGGCGAGATTTTCATGACAAGGAACTTCAAAAGTTAATCGGAGATCACAACGCGAAGGCCCTCTCAACAAAGGGCACACCTCCAAAAGCGGTGGAGCCCAGAAAGGACCTCCTAGTGTGCTGCTTTCAAGAGGTCTTCAGTTTCCCAAAGGGACCGTTAATGGACTTTACATCCAGGTGTGATCCAAGCCAAATCACTCCTTTCTGGGAGAAATTTGTTTTGACTCTTGGCATCCTCTGCCGATTTTTGTCGTGCACTGTCTGGGATGCGCCCAGGAAGCTCTCTTCCGGTTCGATACACCGATCCGGGGATAGGATCGAGTATGGGACGGTGGTGGGCCAGGGTGGTATGTCATTGGCCTGGAATGGTCTGGTTGACTCAGGGCTGTGCATCCTAAGCACCTGGGAGCCGGTAGAGAAAGGCTTCATGGCCTATCAGAACGTGCCTGGAGGCTGTCATGAGGAAAGAGTTGCCAACAAGGGGGTGATCTGGGCCTTTTGGGATGGAGTTCTGGTGCTCAATACACACTTAACAACGCGAAGACATGTGAAGCCAAGGCAACTTGAAGAACTGAGAGTACTCTTTGAACATCTTCGAACACGCTTCCTTCTCAAGTCCTCCACTCAACTCTCAATTTATTTGCATGGTGACTTTAACCTTGATCCAAACCAGGAAGAGTTCTTTGGAACGTGGCACCAAAATTTGGGTTTGGAGCTGATCACCGCTGGTCTTCCCACGAATGCCAAACTGACCCGTGCGCTGGACCACATCTTCCTCTGGCGATCCAATGAGCAACGGAGTGAACTCCGCACCTGCAGCAACCCCATCAAGCCTTGGGACACCGAAGCCTTTTGCGGTGTACCACTCTCGGATCATTGCTGGCAAGGTGTGATCCTGACAAACAACGAAGCCGAATGAAGTTATTTACAGCAGCCGTTTTAGCAGTCTGACTGGCTGACAAGACACTCGGCGAAATCTCGTTTGTCTGGGAGTTGACGATCCAGGCTGTCCTTGAGTGATCGTTCTGCTCTTGTGGCGCGATCGGCTTGGGTGAAAAGGCGTTTCAATGGGATAATCTTCGAATGTGTGGTACACTTGGGGGACAGGTTTTTGATTAAACGACTGTATTATATATACATGTGTATCTACTAGCGATGGGCTCCAACATAGAAGCGATGGCCTCCAACTTGATTTATATTTTGGAGACCAGCCCAGTACAAAGGCAGAAATGCGGCATACATACAGCCAGCGTGGACAAAAGTGAGGCTTGTCGACACCAGTTCCACACAATCTCCACACAGTTTATTCCCGTAGGATCCTCGGATGGGTGAACAATGCATGTCACTTTTCCAACTCAAAGTCTCCAGACTCCAGACAGTGCTTTTTTATTAGGCTGGAGGCCATCGCTAGTAGATACAAATTAAAGTTCGACCCAAATGTGACCAGAGAAGCCTAAGAAGAATGAATGAGGAACCTAAGAAGCTTTCTTGCTTCCAGAAGTAAACCTCAATGTGAAAGGATCCCTGAAACACCGAACCATCAAAAAAAGATCATAAAAAGGAATTCCCTGTTCCTTTTGCAACCCGCCTTTGCCAGGCATCTGAGACTGGAAGGGCCCCAGCTGAAAGGTAAGAAAAAGGGACTTGTGCCGCCACGTTGAGCTCAGAAGCTTACCTCCCATCGAATGTATGTTCTTCCTCCATCCTCCGAGAGCATTTCCTTGGCTTGCTTTTGGCTTGCTTGGCCGAGTTCCCTTTTGCTTCACTTTCCCTTCTTCAATCAACTTTTGTTGCACTTGAGGTGGAGCTTTGTCGAGTTGGACTGCGCTTTGAGGAGCCGAAGCGGTCCAAGAGTATGCTGTAATCAAGGAGGAACAAGAATATAGACTGTAAAGCTTTGCACACCGGCGATGCCATAAGGGTCGTTGTTTCTGTTGTCGGTGGGTGCAGATACATGTATGTTCACATGGTATAATGGATACATTATCTATGGATATCTATGTCTATAGTGTTCCTAAAACCTCTAGGCTTTATAGAAGGGATATTTTTCTGTACTCAGATCCCGCTGGCCCCCAGCCGTTGACGTTGCTGTTGCTGTTGCGCGGCGGCTCACAAAAGGTTTGCTATGTTGGAACGGCACCTCGGTGGTGAGTCTGCAGGCTGTGTACGCATGTACATTATGTGTGCATCTACTTACGCACTCACAAGCGTTCATGACAATCGTGAGAAAGGTGCAATATTGCAGGCAGATACTTGCACACAAGGGTCCAAGCTAGTGCACAGGCTGTCCGTCTATCGCCAGATGCCACCAAGTTGCGCCGTCCCCTTGCGCAGTCCCTAACGTTGCCTTTGGAGGCCCCTCCAAGCCATCGCTTCTAAGCAGGGCCCCCCAGCCCAGCAGTGGGATCTTTCAAAGCAACCGCTAAACTTCGGTATCCCACGCGCCGCCCCTTCCTATAGGCCAACATTAGGCCGTCGCCGGCGGATAACAGTAACATTAGGCCGTCGCCGGTGTATTCATTCAAATTCATCGCGTGTACAGCTAGTTTGGTAATTATATAGCAGTTGATATAGAACATGGCAGTACGGTGTAGTGGCTGTGATGTAGTGCCTACTTTAATCCATGCGACTTTCTTCGACTTTGAAAGGCCTTCGGGTCGGTTCTGTTTGTGTTTCTGTCAAGGACATCAAAGAGTTTGCTCAAAGCAAGACGGACCTTGTGGGAAACCAAGCAACTTCACCACTGACAGTTTCATGCAAGAATAATATGTCAAACCATGCAAAGCACCATGAAAGCCGCGGCGCTCCTTCCCCGTGCCCTGGTTGTTTTGATCTCTCATATGAGCCACAGCAACGGATGAGTTCTCATTGTGATCATCGCGAAAGATTGGGAACGCATGAGGTGGCCAAAGCGGCCAGAGAGAAGTTAGCGCTGGGCCAAGAGCTGCGCCAACCTTGGAGACATCGTTGAGACGAGCCACTGGGTGAAAAGGAGTCAAGGTAAATGAAGCGTCCTAGTAACTAGCGTCCTTGCTCCTAGTAGCGATGCCAGGAGCCCCTAGTAGCGTTGGATAAGAAGATTTCGGCAGGGCGCTCCACGGTCCATTGACAGATGTTGAATTTTGCACAATTATACAGCATCTTATGTCCAGTCGTTTCCACTGGAAGTGAACCACGGCGTCTCATTGTGTGGCCATTTCGACCCCTAGCTGTCAGCTCTGGGCTCGAACTTGCCTTACCCTGCCACAACGTTCTTCCGCCCGTGGCTGGAGTCAGGCTGGGAAAACAATCGGGAGGGGCCACCAGGTATCAACTCATTCGGGTTAAAACGACTTAATGCAACTTGAGAAGCCACCTTGCAAGTGCTTGTGTCACGATACGATTCTGGCGCTTGTGTTTTTGAGGTGGAGATGACTGAGGAGGATATTGCACTCATGAAGATCACCGCGAAGAAGCATCCTGACCAAGAAAGGCACTAGAGAGTGGCCTTCACACTAGCCAGATATGCGGGTGTACAGGGTGACTAGTGACTGGAGTGGACGAGGTTGTTCAAGAAGGGTAATCGGGTAATACAAGGTGGCCCTTGGGCCCGCTTGGGCTTTTGATGGTGGAAACAGGGGTGTCCTTTTGGGTCTTTGAGTTTGGTTCTTCAGGTCGCAAGATTTGCGCTAAAAAGGTTTCCAGTAAGCTTGATATCTTGCTGGTAGAAGTTGGTCGAGCAGCGGCCTCAAATTGGGTGTTTCCAACATCTGCCAACCCCTGGAAGCCTGTGGTGAAATCTGGAGTCTTGCCAAAGACCCCATGGTATAACAAATCGGGAAAGGACCAGCCTTGGAAACTCACATCACAATCTCTCGGTGGCCAATCTCGCAGACACTGGGGACTTTTTGGTTAGGAAGGGATTTCCTGCACAACTCTAACCCAACAAGGATTGGTTGAGCCAGCCATATGAATATAAGGGACCAAAGAAACCATGTCTCAAGGAACGTGGCCTTCTACATGCGCGCTGCAGCATCGTTCCTGCGTGGGACCGAAGACAAGAAGCCCGTGAAGGTCCGACGGCCTTTTTGGCAGGGTGGAATTGCGCTGGGTTGCGCTTGCCTTTTATTGTTGGACATATGTTGAGTTGGCGCTTCAGTTCGAACTTCAATCCCGTGTAGTTCGAGTATTAAATTAAATAGGCTACTAGTAACAAGTGCCTTACTAGTAGTAACAAGAAGCTATTCGAATTCTTGTTTCTAATAGCTTCTTGTTACTACTAGTAAGGCACTTGTTACTACTAGCGATGCACAGTTCCTAGGCGCTTCAGTTCCAACTTCAATCCTGCGTAGTTCGAGTTTTTGTGGCAACTCCCCACCTGGACAGTCCCAACAACTCACAGACTTAAAGGTCCACGGACCATCGACGGCCGTTCGTATTTTTCTTCGCGACCGCAACAAACAGCGAGGAAGATTCCAATGAACAACAGAAACCACCGCCACAAACACACGCCCCCACCAAACAAAAGCTGCGCAAACAGGACCACCCGGGACGCAAGGTCGGCATCAGGGATTACAAATGGGAATTCAGGTTGAAGGCCATCGCTATTAGGTTATTGGTCATTGACTATTAATTGCGGAACTTAGACCTCGTCAAGCCACTTATGGGCATTCAATGCATCACGAAGTAGACCTCGAAACTTCCACTTACAATCATAGGACAATCGTCCGGGATGCCTGACAAGATAACGGTATTGGCAAAATTCATGGGGATGGCAAAGTCAGGATGAAAGGGAGGAGCATGACACCAATTCGTAAATCTTTGCAAAGTGTGACCAATATGGATACGAATTTGCTGTAGTATCAATGGACTGAAGGCCAATCCTGCCGTATGCGTCCTCTCTAACAGCCTAAATGAGTCAGGAATTTGTATGATTCTATAATAACATACTTGCGATATATGGGATCTTGTGTAAATCCTGGTTGACTGCCGAAAGTGAACAGAACAGATTGCCAGGGAGGTGGACCTGCCAAGGTCCGGAGCTGCAGGTTTTGATCCACTACCATGTCGTAAAATGTAGTGAAGCAGATCACTGCAGGCTCGATGACTGTCATGATGAAACCTGCGTGTGACTTCTTCACTTCTTAAGAAATCTTTTATCGGGATAGAGATAGAGAGCCACAGAGAGAGAGAGAGAGAGAGCCCTAAAAATCCTCAAACTTAACCCGATGATCCCGATGATTGACTTTCAAGGGGAGTTGGTCCAGGTGTTTGAGTACAGAGGGACGCTTGCCTTTAAGAAGAAATATATATATATATATAGACTTCAAAGCTGTGGGAATTCGACGGTCTTTCGACGGTCTTTCGATGGCAGGAGCTGAAATTGACCGCCTTGGGCGAGGCCATTGGGATCGTGGCCTCGGTGGCAGCGCGGTGCGAGAAGGAGGAGCTGGGATCGATCAAGGAGGCGTGAGCCGAATGGGTGACTCACGTTTTGATTTTGAATGATTTTGAAGCCCCAAAAAAGCTTGGATTCATCAAGAGAGAAGTTCAAAGTTTAGGAAGTGCAAGAAGTCTGAGCCTGCCGGATGTGGGGCGGACTTCCGAGCTTCGCCAAGAAAGTTTATAGGACAATTTCAGAAAGGGATGGTTTGTTTCTTGATGCACATGCTGATTTGAAGCAGTGCAAAACCCATGAATTAATTCTTATTCCATTCCCAGCAGTCATGCTAACAAGCCCCCATGCCCCCATCCTCAGAACGCGAGACCAGTGAGCTGATGTGTCTCGGTGAGCCCGGTGGGGTAGACTTGTACGTTGCGGCGTGGACCTGGTGTCACCTGGTGTGTTTGCCTTCAACGAGTTGGCGCATCGGCGGGGTTGTGGCAATCGGCGGAGGTGAAGACGGACTACGCAGACGTGCAGACGACCAGTGGGGCAACCAGGGGTTGTGCTCAGCTGCAGGTGGGGGCCAAATGATTGCCAAACTTTTGTCAGACATTGTCCATTTCGTCTCATCTGCAAACAGAGACACAGGCCTGGTTTGACTGCCCACGTGCATTGAAACGAGGGGCGGTTCGGCTGATTTGTTGTTGCTGCTGCTGTTGTTGAAGGTGGTTCTCCTCAACACCTCCTCCGGTGCCAAGTGAGGTGGGGCGGACGCCAGTTCAGTCAAGGTAACGTATTTTCTTGACGCGAGATGACATTTGCATGGCCGTTTCTTGTGAATTGTACATACTTCTCAGCATCTAGGAAGCTACTAGGTTGGAGGTCTCGAGGGCATCTAGGAAGCACATCTGGAGCCCACTTTGCATTTTGCTCTGAGCGCAAGCCGACATGCTGGGCACCATTTTCGTTCCTCGCAGGAGCTTTCACCATGCAAAGACACAGTGATTGGGTATCTCTGTACAAATCGCTCACAACCTCACAGTCTAGCGATGGGGTCTTAAAGGATCAAGGATTTGTATGGATTTTGCACGATCGAGCCAGGGCCACTGATGCTAGTTGATCCTTCCAACAAGCCTGACCTTTCATTCTAACTTGGGGCTGAGAGCTTCCCTTGCAAAGGCATGGGGTATATTACTATGGCAGTAACAGACTTCGGAACAGAGAATGCAGCAAAAAGACCGTTCGATTGCGGCCCAGGAGAATGTGTTATTTTGTGTGTTGCTCAAAGTTGGTGCTGCAACCGAGGGAAGCAGACCTCCAGTTTTGAGATTCCAAGACAGCTGCTCCAAGGCTATCCCACACACCCCAGGCGGGTGCCGTCACGTGAAAGAGAGGCAACCTTTGATCACTTTCCAATCGCAAAACACGCGCACGCACACAGCATACACTTGTCCCGCAACAGCCGGCACGACGCACGAGGGGCACGAGGGGCAGGAAGAACACGACCATGTCACTTGGAGGGTGTACTCTTTTTTTTGCTGGACGCTCAAGCATGCTTGGGACCAAGAGCACCTCCTATTTGCATCATGACTGTAGTGTCATGCACTTGGGAGCCAGGTAAAGCAAGCCTTGTCGATTCGCTGGGCTGCGGCTTGCGAACAAGCCGGAGGTCAAGAGGTGGTGCTAGGCGGAAGACGACGTGAACATGGAGCAGTCTTGGGCAAAGATGACATATGATGAAGTACCTCACAAGGCATCTAAGTCTATATAGGTGAATTTGTCATCTGCACCTAGCTCTCAAGTTCATCCAAATAGCAGGCAGATAGCTTTGGATACCTTTTTGGGTTCTTGGGCTCCTCACCGCTTTTGACACATCGCAGGTGCGGCAGCCGCCGGTGGCACCAGCGGCCTTTGCCTGGGAGCTTTGTTTGGGGCACCGAGTTCTGTCGATTCCGATACCCTGGGGTAGGATGGGCACATACTTGTTGGTAATAGCAAACATTGTTACTACTAGTAAGGCCAGGAGCCCCTAGTAGCTTCTTGCTCCTACTAGTAAGGCACTTGTTACTACTAGCGATGCACTTGTTCCTAGTAGCGAACATTGTTTCTAATGGTTTAAGCTTGCCAAATAACCATATCCACAATTTGGTCGCGCTGCAGGCTCTTCTCGGGCGAATCCTCTGCCGCGGCGCAGCAGCGCCTGGCCGATGCGATCCAAGCGGCACAGCTGCGGAATCGTGGGGTGCTCAAGGGGTGGGGTGGATCTGGATTTGGTAAATGAAACCTAATAGGAAGGACGCTACCTTCCTCTTTTTCTCTTTTGGTTGTTTCTGATAGCGATGGCTTGCAACTAGCAAAGGCCTGTAAGGAATCAGATTCCTTCAAATGAGATGAATGAGACTGCTCAGACCCATAAAACAATCTTCTTTGCACCAAGGTGAGGGATAGGAATCATAGGAAGGATTAGGACAGTGTACCACTCACGGACAAGGCCTCTTTCCAATCCTTGGTGAGTTTAATTTGTTTCGATCGAATCGGCTTTGCTGTTGGGATTTTTCCAAGGGGATAGAAGGAATTGGCAAGATATGTGGATCTATGTGGATCTTCACTTTTCCCCCTTCCTCGTTGACGCTGTCAGATTGGCTTTCCGTCGGTATATTGATAAAGATTCGAGTCCTTGGCAGGATCCTCTCCAGACCAATCCTGGTCTTAGTGACTTGTTAAAGAAACAATGCTAATGATCCTCTTCATTTTCTTGTCTTATTCTTAGTGACTTAGGCTTAGTGGTGTGGAAGGAGATGACTTGGGTCCTCTCCCTATGGGTGGGAAGGAGATCAAAGAGATCCCAGCCCCATGGATCGGCTCAAGGCACTGGGGTCATCCGCTCCAAGCTCCGGCGAGGCGTGGGAGGTTTGGACGTCGAAAGGGGGAGGAGGATGTCCGTGGCTTGATCAAAAACATGGTGCAACCATGTCAGCTCATCCAACCCAATCCAACCTTCCTGCCTCAATATGATGCACCTTCTCCATTTCAGCACAAGTTCGGAAGCCTGATGCTCTCCCTGACTGTCACCAAGGCTCTGGGAGATGGTCACGTAGTCATGTATTTACTAGTTCAAGCCTGCATTCCTCTCAGGTGCCCTAGGATGTCTTCTTGATGTGTTCTCTTCCAATCTCCTCCTTTCCTCTTCATCTGTTGAATCAGTATCGCCTGCACCATTGCCCACACTTGTTCAAACCGGAAGCACTGGAAAGACAAATTCTCAAATTGCATCTACCTTGATTTTACACAGCCCGGCAAAGGTGCATTTGGGTGTATATGTGTATAGAGAGTGGGTACCCTGAAGGGCTGTGATACTTGGGGAAGTGGTGAGAACCGTCCGTTGGACTGTCCAGTACCACAGCAGGTGAGATGCCCTCTGTACATTCCATGATCACATCTGAATCCCCTTGGCTTTTGTATCTTTCTGGTTTTGTCCTGGTTGTTCGCATGCTTGCGTTGGGACTATGGAGTTCCACTGCAAATCCAGAATTCCTCGGTCCGACCGGTCTTTGGTTTTTGTCCAGGCTTCAGAAAGCGCCTCCTGATGCTGTCAGCCTCCGGCTCAGAGGCAGCAAGGCTCGTATGGTCGGCAAACAGAGGGGTTATTGCAAGTAAATTTTGCCACAAGACCATGCAGCAGCTCTCACATTTTTGTAAAGGTGATTTCTCAGGTTGTCTCTTCTGCCCTTCTCATTTTCTTAGCTGTCAACTCTCAAAAGAACCCACCAGAATACCGAGCAATAGAGCTCATGGTCTGAGGCTGGGTCTGCCGCGGCGGCTGCCTACTTGTGCACGCTTCCGACTGCTATGGAAGGTGGACGTTCAAACACCAGCCACATATCCTGGGTGTGTTCTTTTCGATTCCTGCTGTGTAATTCCGCTCGAGCCAAGCCTGTGAATTTCCTTTCTGTTCCAACATATATAAGGGACTATTGGTGAATGTGGAGGATTTAGGAGCCGCAATCACGATGGCGCAACTCCTGCTTTGGCACTGTTCTTGTGCAATTGTGATTTATTTTCCAAGTTACAATCATCTACTATATGCATTTTTCGCAGTTTGACATCTTCAGAACACTCCTGTGCTCTCTGTCATATGCCAGGTGGTTCTGGGTTCATGGCTGAAGCCAGTGGTATTGCGAGGTGGAGCGAAGCAAACATGCTGCAATAGTTCAGCTTGCCAGTACAGTGCTCTTTTCTTTTTTACATCCAAAGAGCTATACTGATACAAGACTGGATTAGTTAGTTGGACATCAATCAATTTCCTGAACCCGAGAAAGCAGATTCCAAGGTTTGGGTGTCTCGTATGGTTCCACATCCAGTTCGGCACCAATTTGCGGCTGCAAAGACGGCTTGCAAATTGCAGTGGCGATAAAGGAGAAGCAAATCCTACTGCAGCAGATCATGAATGGAGCTTTTGCAATGCAGGCGCTTAGGACGTTCTGTCGGTGCCTTTGGGCATACCATGCTCGGAGCCCAGATGGTCTGGAACAAGAGAACACCAGGGAAGCTTTCTACGTCGTTTGTAGCAAGTTTGATTCAGCTCCAGCATGGAAGGCCATTCGGTCCGTCTTGTGGTAAGGAGCCTTTTCTGAATCCTTCTGATTACACTCCCTGAAGCAAGCATGGTTACATGGAATTCACTACTTGTTTGGTATTCGGAAGGTGGTCATCCGAGTCTTCGGGACGATGCCAATCCACTTCCACCAGTTTGGCCACAGGCTCCGTGCTTCGCCCAGGCTCCAAGCACCGCCTTCCACGCGCCGCAAACGCCGCAAGTGGCACATCTGAGGTGCGGCCGCAGCGATCGCACAGACATGCGCGCACGCACAGAGAGAGAGAGAGAGACTCACTAGCTTCTTGTTCCTAGTAGTATGGCCAGGAGCCCCTAGTAGGCCCTAGTAGCATCCTTGCTCCTAGTAGCGATGCCCTTTGTTACTAGTTGCGTTCTGTCATCCTTTACATCCCCTACAACCTTTAGGGTGGGAGAAAGCCCGGGGTTTATCGCTCTTAGGGGGGAGGCCATCGCTAGTAGGTTGGAGGCCATCGCTCTTAGGTGGAGTTTGTTCTCCAAGGCCAAGGACACAGAATCTTAGGAAGCAATCTGCTGTTGCTAGTGTAATTGTCATGGAAGCTGTTTTTTCATTGAACGATCTGCAGATGGCCCAATGGCTTTTTAAATTCTTCGAAGCTGGTGGGTACAGTGCCTGAACATATTGCTCGAGCCACTTGCAGCCATTGCAAGCATCCAGAGCTCGTTCTGGAGACCCCGCGGACGATGGACCGCAAGGGAAGGAAGCCTTGGAGGTGTCCGAAGTTGAAGGTGACCGTCATCCTACCCAGTGGCTCGGATGAAGAAAACATCGGCGCATAATCTCATGAATGTCTTCGGTCAAGTCGAGATACACTTCGTTTGTGAAAAAATCATGGGCCAACGTGAATGGCCCCGAAAGGATGACCATTTTCATACCAAACAAGTGGTGAACTCCACTTCAGGGAGTTTGTAGATGGACAGTGTGAGCAGACTTGGAACACATTCATTTGGCCATGAGTCAAAACGTTTTGGTATGGAACATGTACTCTTGAACATCTCGTTCCATACCCCGTTCCATACCTGTGGTACAGCATGTCTGTTCGCCGTTCCATACCCATCGTTCCATACCTATGGATTCCTAGTTTGCAATTGTTCGAGGTTCAATCAAAACGTGCGCTTTGCTCGCTGAAATACATTTACCGTGAGAAACGGGACTGAGATGACACGTCAGGTTTTTTGGTACAATTTGTTCCATACCCCCGTTCCATACCTGTTCCATACCTTATGGAACAAGGGATCCGTTCCATACCCTATGGAACAGGAAGGTACGCGATGTTCACCTGAGACCCGGGGTCTTGACGCACACCCATATTTGTCAGTCTTTGCTTCCGTTTGGATGGGCATGTGTTGAAAGATGTGCGTCACTGCTGTCTGGTCGACTCTGTACAAAGTTGAGTTGCAGACAACTCTGTATTTATCTATTCGCAGTTTTGGTAGGTCTTCCAACTCTCCAACACAGCTCCTCCAAAAGCGGGGCAGCTGAATTTGGTCTGAACATCAAAGAAACAGCACCAACGATGGCGCTCTGACAGGACTTTGCCCGCTGATTTGACAAAACTCGTATCGAAGTGGTCCTGGAAGGACGCACGCGTTCTGTCATCCTTTGCAAGGTATTCAAAATAGCTTCTTGTTCCTAGTAGTAAGGCACTTGTTACTAGTAGCGATGC